TCTACAGAAATTGAATTAATACTACTCTTCTGTTTCTGCTCATTTTGGAATTTGGACCACTGATTCCTCCATATATTGACAGCATAGGCATTGGTTCCTCAGCTAAGGAAAGAAATACCTTTAAAGAAAAAGGAAAACATTCAATAGCCTAACATTAGATACATTGAATTCATGTATCAGAATTAACTATAATGGAGAAAGCGTCTGAAACAAGTAGAAGTTTAGAAGGGAGAGAAGACTTAAGAGTACTTGACCACAGCTGAAAGTAGTGTAACATTAAAATAAAACAGTTTTGGCATGTTTTTTTTTGTGTGAAAATCATCAGGAAAGACTATGGAAGCGAATCAGACAAACTATGATGATGTGATACAGAATATGATAATAAATAATATGATGAATAAAATACTTCTAGACTGCTGAAGAAACATTATTCTTTCTACAGTGAAGAAATGGGCCTTGAATCAGAAGACAAGGAGGAACCAGAATGACAGATTTTGGGGTTGAAAGCAGGAAGCTGGAGAACCAATACAACTTTGCTAATAATGGAGAAATGAGTAGTACAAGTCTTAAAGTTTAAATTAACTTATTATTTTCAACTATCCTATGAAATTTACAATTTGATCTCCTGGTTCTCTGGACGTACAACAATACTTAACTATCACATGGATAGAGAGAACTGTTTTATGAAGCTGACAAGTAGATGTAGACTGTCAGAAATGCTGCAAAATTAATAGCCTTTTCTTCCTTTTGAAGGATTAAGTGATATACTTTGAGGCCTACCAGATAACATTTGGCTCCCTTAAATACTACTACTTTAGGAGAAAAGTAAAAGGATACAATAAAAAGTTTAAGGACTAGAAAAAAAAATGTATAGACATTTTATTACTCATAACATAAAATTTGCAAGTTTCCTCATGCCCTCTAACAGAGTAATCTCAATGCATATTCAATGAAAGGAAGAGGAAGGACAGGGCAAGAAAACATCCTTTTGAGGCCTGTACCAGGAAAAAATTAAACAAAAAACACCCACACATCCATAAGGTCTATTAGTTCAGAAACAGAGCTTCCAAAACTTGGAATATAATTTGAATAAGGATTTATAAGAAAATCTAAGAAGTTTCTGATATATGGTGAAGGAAATGTATGACATAAGGATTTAGAGAAACTCAAACCCTTTCCCTCTAGGAAAAAATGTGTCCTCTATGACTGGACTGAAAGTTTATTCCACTTGAGTAAGATTTCAGAGGTCTTTAGACAGAAACTCATGCCTCAAAGATATATAAGAAAAGGAGACTAGAATGCTGAGCATTGAGCTGCACCTACAATCCATCTAGAGGATCTCAGACAATACTGTCTCAACAAGTGGAAGACATTATAAAATGGAAGTCTAAATTTTTCAGAGAAAAATCACAAAAACTAGAACTCAAAAAAGAATTGTTGAAGATGCAAAATTACCAGCTAGGAATGAAAGGTTTAAGTGAAATGTGCTGACCTGGCACAAAGGGATAAGGCCATTAACACCAGCTATTTAATGGAGTCTCAAGTGTCAAAGGTCACTCACCTGAAATGAAAGAAATTAGACTCAGTATACTGCTTCTAGAAAAAGCTAGCCAGCTAGCCTAAGAGATTTTTATACATACTATGAAAGTGGAAGTAATCTTCTAAGTCTGAGACTCCTCTCCTAGGTTTCATTTTGAGAGAGAGAAAAAAAAAAAGAGAGAGAGAGATTTTAAGACTACTGTTGAAAGAATTTGTGCATGGATCTACCTATTTTCTGGATAGTCCTTAGTGCACAATCATCTAAGATGCCTACATCATTCCAAGTCATCAGACAAAAGAAAGCCCAAGTAGCTGCTCTAGCTCATAAAGAAAAAAAAAATTCCTGAAACCGATGACTGACTGAGCACTCCTAAAGAAAATCATTAGTCTATCTAGTCAGATGAACAGTAAACAAAAAGCATAGACTTTGCATATATTTTGTATATCTGTACTTCCATATATTGTGTAGGACTACAGAGAATAAGCCACATAGATCATTACGAAACCAGACTTATGTCAAGGATTACTACTAAAACCTTTGTCTTTAGGCAGATAAGCACAAATACCAACATATACTGCATGTGTGTGTGTGTGTAGACTTAAACAAATAGCATCTAAAGTTTGTCTTTCTTTTCTATATACAAACCTCTATAAAGCTGTCTTGCTGATAAAGTGACTTGCATTTTTCACCATTTTTGTTTCAATTGGTTTAATAAATCAATTGCCATTGATTATATTTGCACTATTGCTCAGTTGGAGGCCAGTCTGTTCACCCCACCACCACTGTAAAATTTAGTTTTATAGGTTCTTTCATATTCCCTTTCTTTTGTAGAAAAAGACTGTTATCTAATGTTTATAGTACAAATTTTAACTCTGAAGGAAGTTAAAGTAACGTATGTTGATGACTAGTTCTTTCTGTTTTGCATTAAGAGGCCTAAAATATTATTGAGAGTTCTTAAATTTCCATGGTTGCACCCCTACCACTTTGGGGTTTGCTGAATTTAGATTTCATTTAATATAATGTAACTAATAATTAATCTTATTCTTAAATGTAATAGCTATACTAAAAAGTGCATGATTTGTCAATATTTATCTATTTTAGCACCATTTTAGCAAATTTAAAAAACATTCATTTCGCAGAAGGACTAGTCTATACTGTCTATCTGGTGAAGAATATTTCCAAAAAGTAGTTAACTTTTGGAAAGGACAGAGTGGCTTAGTCTAGACAAAAATATATTCACCATATTATCTCCATAACAAAGTCATGGAGCATTTTGGGCCAATCAATTCTCTTTGAATTCTACCTACTTTTATTAGAAAAACAGTCTACTGCTTTTTTAGCATACAAATAAGTTGCAAGCTGTATTTAAGTGGCAGCTTTCTAAAAGTAGAGTAGAACTAGGGAGGTGAGTACAGAGAAGCAATAAAGAAATCATTTGAGCCCAAAGAGAAATAGAACTGCAGTATGTTGTGATTTACAAAACAAAATCAGGACAGCTTATAAAAAAAATGTCATCAGAATAATAGCAGGAGAAAGCAAAGTGAGCAGTGTGGTGAGGATGTTGGACTTGGAGGAAAAAAGGGTAGATGAAGACAAAGTAATAAAGTTACATAGCCCGAAGTAAATCAAAAATTAAATCTTTAAGGTTCAAATGTAAGTTAATGTTTTTCTGCTACAATTAATTACACTTAATAAAAACTAACCTTAAGAGAAATAAAAAAGTGATCAGGAATAGCATAAAAAACATACAGGTACAGATTTATACAAAGATAGCAATTATGTGAGAAAGCAATTATACCAGCACAGGAAAGTATAGAATGCAAAATAAATAGCCAAATCTGATGATTTTCACAGTAGACACAATTTTACATGATATCAAGTCAGTGATAAATTAATCATTAATTTACATAAAAAAAACTTTTAAAACTTTGTTAAATTGCAATGTAGGTGTGTGCATATGTGTGCGCAATTAAATGAACCATGATAATTTTATATGTCCTCTTAAAAACAGTTCTACAAACTAGAAATAAACTCACAAAATATGTAATTAGGCACATAAATGTAAAGCAGATATAACTTGCCTTTACACTATCTCTAAATTTAAAAATTCCTCAAACTCTCAGTTTATTACAAAAATATTACTTTAAAATGAGAACAGCCCTTAGAATGGATGGTTAGTTTTCATCGACTAATCTGAGAAGAAAAAATAATAAATAATGAATAAAACAATTGTTTAAAATTCTTAATTCATTGAAATTTACATTTCCACTTTTATCAATACAGTTACAAATGGAATTTGCTCTTTTAAAAAAATCTGCTTAACATGACAAATAAACATTAAGGTTAGTTCTTGTGCATTAATGACACCCAGATGCAATGACTCATATATGAGCCTTAGATTATAAATGGAATCTAAATTTTGACAAATGTGCTTATTTTTAAATCAATAATGCCACAGATGGACCTCTCAGTGCTCCCAATATAAACATTATCTTTTTTAATTTCCATACATTTTAAAATTTAGGATGTTAAAGTGCTTTTTAGAAAACTCTTTTTAAGGAGGGACAAATGTACATGGTGCATTTAGTGTTTTGAAGAACAGAAATGGCCACGTAATAATCTAGAGATTAAATATCTGCTTTTTCATAGTTACGACAATATTGAAACAAACGTCCTTGCTCTATACAGCTAATGCTTTTTCATTCTTAATGTCAGGATTAAAAGACAGGACCAGACTCTTTTTGGTGGTGGCTAGCGATAGGACAAGAGGAAACAGCCACAAACTGAAGTACACAAAGTTCTGCCTGAATTTGAGGAAAAAAAAATTCTTGGCAGTGAGGGTGCCAGAGCCCCGGCACAGGCTGCCCAGAGAGGCTGTGGAGTCTCCTTCCCTGGAGATCTTCAAACCCGCCTGGACGCCACCCTGTGCCACGTGCTCTGGGTGTCCCTGCTGGAGCAGGGGGTTGGACTAGATGATCTCTAGAGATCCCTGCCAACCTCAAACCTTCTGGGATTCTGTAAATGTGAAATATCTTGTCTCTGTTTAGGTTGTGGTTTGATGTGAAGCCAATCCCATTCTGGGATTCTGTGATAGCAGTATTGACTCTTTCAGTCTTTAGAATTTGCTAAAAATTCCAGTGAGGTATCAATTATGATAGCAGTTTTTGTGATTTGGATAGCTGCTTAAGAACTTATCTCAGACTCTCCAGACTTACCTTCATGAGAGTTTATATTGATTAGCACTAATGTGTTGCTATATTACATAAAAAATGTATTTCTGAATATTCCATGTAATAAAGTTATATTATAGTAAAAACTTTTAAAACAAAAAAATCTATCTCATAATGATTCTTTTATTACACACAATCTTAAATTAAACTTCTACACTCTGAACTCTTAGTTAAATACTTGAATGGCATTAAAAGATTAACAGTCTTAAATATATAATGAAAAAGCATACTTTTGAAATCTCCATCTCCAAATGTCAGTGGATAAGCTCCTGGCTTTTCAATCTTGTACATTTCCTCTATAAAAAGGATTTTGCAATCATTTATTGCATCTTCTGGGCCTCTGAAAAATAAAGTACATTGAACCCTGCTTCTCAGTCTTAGCTTCGATAATTTATAAACCCTAAGCAAACGAATATATTTAACTGGCATTTCTTTCATTGCTGATAAAATAGTTTTTATTGAATTCACAAACAAAATTAAGTGCAGTGTTATAATTTATAACAAAGCTAAAACAGTGTACAGTCTAGTTGGTGGCATAGATGAAGAATATCCCAAGACTGTTTCTTTGTTGGCTATTAGTATCTATTTAAATCTGGAAGCATATGGTATTAAATTAATAACTTTTTAAATAATTAATAATTTTGTTGAAGAAAAACTATACAGACAATTTTAACATTAATCAGACAATTCAGCTACAAATGAGATTTTCCCTATATATATATTCAAATCCCATTATGCTATGGGATGCATGAAAACTAAAACCATAATATTTGAGGCTTTTAATATTTACTACTTTTGGGTTTCCTTTTCCTTCAAAGCAACTAACAAGTTTTAATGAATTGTAACAAAATAACTGAAAAGGTAGTTAATCCACAGAAAACGAATTTTCTCTTCCAATTTGCATGCTCTACTCTCATCCATTGACTTTGACAGGTGTTGGCACTTCTATATGAAATGAGTAAACAGTATTTCATGAACTAGAATGAAACCACTTCAGAAGAATCAGATTATTTAAGCGAGAGCCCATGCCCCCAAAATATGCAGTTATAGAATAAACTCAAAATACTCAATTTGCAAATTCTATGATACAATATGCATGGTTCAGTGACACAGACACTGAATGCACTTGAATATATTTTCAACAAGCTTTACACACAGGTTTTTTTTTTGTTTGCTACTCTATTTGTCAATATAGATTCAATAAGTTTAATATTATTTAGTCTGAACGCTTACCTGGCATGTCTATTATTCAATTGTATTTGGCACACATGCCAAACACCAAGCCTGGAACCACAGCACACCAGAACAGAAAGTACATTGTGCCTGCACAGGAGCCCTCAATAGAGAGGAATCCTCACCAGCTAAAAAGCTTTAGAGCCACCACTGAGCATGAATATATGCAGGTTCACTGCTTACATCTTAAAAGTCTATTTCCTCTAAATACTAGATGCTTTTTATGAATAGCTTAGGAAACCATAGTAACATTTAAAAATATACAGCCCAGAAGACGCAAGATGTTTATACATACAAAAGACAATCTAACTATGGTCAGCTATGCAGCTTGTCACAAAGCTAAATTCATAACAAACTATGTCAACTGATCTCAGATTTCAGGTATTCCTGAACACAGAATGAAATGCAATTACCAAACTGCATATTATAGCTAAAACTCAAATCTCACAGTAAGCTTTACTGTTTTCTTTTTTAAAAAAGCAAAATCTGCTTTATTTTCCCTCCCTTTTGCCATGAAGTAAAATTGAGCTCTTAAATAACTAGTCAATTTAAATCCAAGATATATTTGTTTTGCAATGTTTAAATATATTTAAGTTTCAAGACAAAAAACAGCTTATTCACAAAGTCACTCAATATGAATTACAAGCACATTGACTTCTTTTCCTCCATTTTAGGAAGTAAAACTGAACCACTAATGAGCAAATATCAACTCTTCCATATTGCAATTTAAAAAAATGGGTCACATACAGAGGAGTGGCAGGTAGGCTAAAGAAATGACCTTTCATGTTCTCTTTTAAGAATCAGGAATGGGGAAGTGTCAGGAGACTATTTTATATGGAAAAATGTAATGGGATATGCAATCTTAAAAACTGTAATCCCTCCAATTCTCTCAATACAATGGAATCTTCTGAAATTTCTCTCTCCATTTGAAGCAGGACAATGGAAAGAGGATAAGGAATATGTGGAGTCACAAGCGTGGTCCATCCATAACCTGGCCATTCCAACTACCCAGGCCATTGGGAGGACTATTACAATGGAAATTTTGGCTGGGAGAAAGAAGGGAAGGGCTGGGCAAGAAAAGGATACTTTTAATAACAGGTTAGACAAATGACTTTCAGAAATAACAACTGGTATAGTTTATCCTAAAAAATGGTTTAAGATGAACTCTTTCAGTTCCTTCCAACCTTATTGTTTTATGATTACTTAGATGTTTATTTTATCTGCTGTATCTCAGCCAGGAGGCTGAGACAGGGGACAATCACAATGGTGAATGGCTCTAAATCACAGCAATCAAGGATTCCCTTTAAGAAGCTTTGTTAACTATAGGGAAATAAGCTACATGTGTGTGCAAGAAGTCTTCAGACAGATTTTTTTTTTTTTGACAAGTGAACTTTAAGAGAGCTGGTCAAGAACGTTTCAGCAGATTATTGGAATACATGGCCCTATAGTATGAAAGCTATTCTCAGAAATGACCCTAAAGTAAGTCTTGTTACCATTCTGCATCTCAGCAAAAACATGTTTTCAAAGCTCAAGCAGCAAGTACCAAAGGCATTACATGGT